AACTGTTATGGTAAATGCCGGTTTAGAGGAACAATATGGTCCACACAGTACACGCTCAGCATATACCTCTAAAGCAAAGAGTTGCGGGGTAGATCTAAACACTATTATTAAAACAGCGGGCTGGACAAATGCAAAAACATTTGCGACTTTCTATGACAAGAATATAACACCATCAAAAACTGTTCAGGAAGCGGTGATGTCAAATGTGTCTTAGACTTTATCAGACATTGGGAGTGATATAAGAAATTGATTATTATGTTGACATTAGAATTACAATATAAAACATTAATTAATTATTCACTGTCAAATTGACAGCTATTTTAACATTGGAATTACAGTAAATTTAAATGTATGTTAATGAGTAGATCTTAGAAATATTAGTTAGAAATAAGCAAATATGTTGTTGTATTTCATTTTATGGATATCAAAACTATCTCTAAAGTCTCTGTGGGGCCCATTAAAGGAGATATGCAGGAGATGAAATTGTATAATTAACCGAGACTTACCTAAGTAAGGTGAAGGTTGATTGTAATTTCATCGACTGCAATCTCCTTTAAGGGCTCACACACCCTGCCCTTCCCACCCAATGAAAAATTTAAGTTCTGATATCCACAATAAAAAATTTTGTCACATTCTGTGACAATATTTTATCATCCGTTAACTCTAAAGACTGATCTGGCTGCGGTAGCTGCGTCATCTCTGTGTGAGCCCTTAAAGGAGATTGCAGTCGATGAAATTACAATCAACCTTCACCTTACTTAGGTAAGTCTCGGTTAATTATACAATTAGTGGTTAAATCTGTTGTTAACTCAATAAAACATCAGAGTAGGAATATATCAATGCACTTGAGTCTAGTGAATTTGGTGGTGAAGTTCATATTTCACACAGCCTAAATTTCATGACTACATAAAAGGACAACACAGTAAGACACTTTGTCAAAATCTAGGTCAAAGTTCACTTTACATCTGAATCTGTGCACATGGTTCAAATTTCATAGCTGTACATCAAAGGACACGAAAGTAGGTCACATCAAAATCTAGGTCACCTGATATCAAAGTTCAATTTTACAACGAAAACTGTGCACATGTTCAAAATGTCATTGCTGTACATCAAAGGACAAGAAAGTAGGTCACTGTCCCCTTGGAAAAGGCAAAATTTTGGACCCAAGGGTTTAATTCAAAACAATCTTGATACAGGTCCACCAAACAACATTTCAAGTCAAATATTTAAGCTATAGCTTTCTCCCATTCAGAAAACATTTGTTTTATTTTCTGTTTTTACTATGTGTACATAATGAGAATCACTGCCCCCTTGCAGGGCCAATTTTGACACCAGGGGAAAAATTTGAACAACTTTGGTAGACGACCTATAGATGATATTACATAGCAAACATCAAAGCTCTATGCCTTGTACCTTCAGACAAAAATAATTTTTATTTTTTAATGTAATAATGTACATAATGAAAATCAATGACCCCCTGGGCGGAACCAATTTTGACCCCAGGGCTATAATTTCAACAATCTTGGTAAAGGTTTCATTTCGCAAAGTCTCATGCCATATATTTAGCCTCTAGCCTCTAGCAATTCAGAGAAGAAGATTTTTCAATTCAGAGAAGATTTTTCAAGTTTTAACATTATACATAAGGAAAACTATCGCCTCTGGGGCAGGGCAAATTTAACACTAGGGGCATAATTAAAACAACTTTAGTAGAGCACCCATAGATGATTTTATATACCAAATACCAAAGCTCTAAGCCTTGAACCTTCAGACAAGAGGATTTTTTTATTTAATGTACATAGTGAAAATCAATGACTCCTGGGGGTGCGGCCAATTTTGACCCCAGGGCTATAATTTGTAAAATCTTGATAGAGGTTCACTACATGTTTCATGCAAAATATCTTAACTGTAGTCTTTGTAAATTTAAAGATGACTTTTTAAGTTTTTACTATATACATATGAGAAAAAAACCTATGGCCCCCGGGGCGGGGCTAATTTTGACACTAGAAGCAAAATTTGAAAAACTTTGGTAGAGTTCCTATAGATGATATCATTTAACAAATATTAAAGCTCTAAGCCTTATACCTTCAGACAATAAGATTTTTTACTATATGTATATATTGCAAATCAATGACCCCCGGGGTGGGGGCAATTTTGACCCCAGGGCTATAATTTGAACAATTCTTGGTAAGGGTCTACCAGACAATGGCTTATGCAAAATATCTAAGCTCTAGGCCTTTTCGGTCCTTTCAAGAAGGTTTTTTAAGTTTTTACTAAATGAACATAGAGTGAAAATCAATGACCCCCTGGGTGGGGCCGATTTTGACCCCAGGGCTATAATTTGAACAATCTTGGTAGATGTCTACCAGACAATGCCTTATGCAAAATATCTAAGCTCTAGGTCTTTTCGATCTTTTAAATTTATTCTTATAATTCCTTTTGGCAGCCATGGCAACCAGATTTCTGCATGGAATTAAATTCTTTGAACAACTTTGCAACCCCTTCACCAAAGGATCAATCCTGCCAAGTTTGGTTAAAATTGGACTAGTGGTATTTCAAGAAGATTTTTTAAGTATATAATCTATATAACACACACAAACAAACAAACAAACACACACGCACACATACACAGGTGAATCGCTATATACTGCGGTGGCATAAAAAGTACCTGCGGTGGCATAAAAAGTACCTAAGTGTTAAGATTGACATATTTGTAGTACCCAAATTACGGATGAGTTAAATGGTGGATCAAATAAAATCTCATAAAATAGGTTCTTGAAAGCCATATTAATATCACATAGGAGTATTAAATGCAAAACCATATACAGTTAAACTTCGTTCGCTCGAACTCGGATCGCTCGAATACCTCCTTTCGCTCGAACTCATCGTCCAGTCCCGGCAAAATTCTTATATAATATATATTGTTCTACCTAAGATCGCTCGAACACCCATCGCTCGAACTCTCGAACATGATCTCTGGTCTCAGTGACACATGTTTTTAACACCTCGCGATCGTGACAAAGGCAATTAAGGTTAATTGATACAAAATAACAGGTGTTGTAACTGATTTCTTTGTTATGATAAAATTGTATATTTGCCATCTTTAGTAACGATAAAAAGAAAAAAACTCCTGAAATGCACAAAAGTCAATAAATAAATGACATTTACCCGGACGGCTTTAATTACAACCGTGGTTCATGTATCGTGAATTGTAACAGTGTAATCTATTTATAGGATGATACTTGTACGTGTTTATTTTAGTAAATGACTACAAATATATGCTGCTTAAAATGTGTTTTTTTATTATTTAATTAATTCATTGTTTAAAATAAAATTAATTCCATAATAGACATATTAATATATTTTGAACATTGTTCACAGTTTGGATAATGATTGCCCAATCGAACTCAACCAATTACAATATGCATGAATATAGATTAACACAGTGTACCGTTAATATTGTAATAGGATAATAATTCTTAATATGACGTGTTTGACAAACAGATGTTCTAACAACAATTATATTGACGTATTTATCATTTGACCTATGTAAGCTGGAAAACCGTTAGACATATGTTCTATGTAATAATAGTTCAACCTCGGTTGGCTCGAACTACCGATCTCTCGAACAAATTTTCACAGACCCTCCGAGTTCGAGCGAACAAAGTTCGACTGTATCTGAAGTTCAGTAACACCTTATTTTTGCAGGAAAATGAGAAAATCTTTAATATTCAATTACACTATAGATAGTCATAGAAAAGGTTATATAAGTCAAACCTTTTGTTTCTTCTGGAGTCTTTTCAATTTCAATTTCAACAGCTGTCTTCTCCACCAATGTTAAATTATCATCAACACTGACATCTTCTACAGCTGTATTAGTTCCTATAAAAAGAAGGTAATTTAAAAAAAAACTAGAAATGTGTCATCATGCCACGGATGCCCCCGCATGCAGCCAAAATTTCAGATGATGCATTTTTTTCTCATTTTAACTTCAAAGACCTTAAAACCTTTCAATGTTAACACAAACCATTTTCATACACTGTTCAAGGCACTGAAATTATTCAGTCCTTTTAAAAATAGCATATTGCATATTTGTAGCCAAAATAATGGCTAAAAGTATGAGTGCTGAAACTGAAAATTCAAAATTTTTCCAATATTCAGGAAAGATAAGTTTGTCTAAAATCATTGAACCACAACCAAATTCAAACTTAAACTGCTTATTTCTAAGATGTATCTATATTATTTTCAAAGTGAAAGGGACATAACTCTGCCAAACAATCATCAAACCATGACCAAATTCCAACTTGACCTGCCCATTCCTTTGACAAATCTATATGTCAAATTTAAGTTGAATATGTAACACTGTCAGGTAGATAATGAACAGAAACTGTAAATTTCATATTATTTTCAAAGTGAAAGGGGCATTAGTCTGCCAAAAATCATTGAACCATGACCAAATTCGAACTTGGCCTGGGCATTTCAAAAACATATCCATGTCAAATTTGAGTTGAATGTGTTGTACCATTGGGGAGATAATAAAAGGAAACTGAAAATTTCATATTATTTTCAAAGTAAAAGGGGCATAACTCTGCCAAAAATCATCAAACCATGACCAAATTCAAACTTGACCTGTATTTTCTCATGACATATTTATATGTCAAGTTTGAGTTGAATGTGTGCAACCGTTCTTTAGATAATGAACGGAAACTGATGATGACGGAATGACAGAATGACGGAAGGACGGAAGGATGGAAGGACGGAATGACGGAACAGGGTAACACTATATGCCCCGGCCATTACATGAATTCTTTGTTGCAACAATAACTTTAGGCTCATATTAAGGGTGAAATCAGGAAGGTTCTACTATATTATTCTTAAAACTTATAACCCTTACCTGTGTGCAATAAAATTTTTCTTGGGTAAAGCTTGTGGAACTTTTTTAGTTAAGCTAAGTAATAGAAAGAGCACCAAAACACGAGGCCATCTGATTTGTACGAGGGTATGAATCAGATTGCCGAGTGTTTTGGTGTTCTTTCTCTTTTGTATCATAGTCAATCATAAAAGGTTGTTTCCTGTTGTCACAATATGAAACCCCGGCAAAAATGAACCAATGAACGAACATCTGAATATGACATTTATGTCGTCACAATATGTAAACCCCGGCAAAAATGAACCAATCAATGGGCATGCTCTGGAGTGCGGGTAACTAATACCCGCACTCCAGTAAACGCACTTTGCATGCATATGTATACGATTTAACCCTGACACATTTTCAACAGAAAGGTCTCCAAACTATGATACAAGTTGTCAATTAATTAATTGAAATTCTTTGCATTTAGGATACAAAGTTTGCTTATTTCATACAAATGTGACATAGAATTTGTTTTGGAGAATCTTAATGTTTGTGTTATTTTCTTTTCCCTTCCTCTATCAACATTTCCTTCTTGTGTTGTAATTGCTGACCACAGATATAAAGCCAAGTATTTCCTTGCCATGTATAATTCCATTGGTGACCAATTAAACTGCAAAGACTTCCCAGATAAATAATTTTCTGCAAACTGCAAAGAAGAATGTGCCATTACTACTACCATCACTAACTCAGTCTTATGATGGTAAACATTAGTATTAAAATCCAAGTTCATGCACAGATATCAAGTAGAGGTTTGGAAAAAGTTGATTAAAAGAATTATGAAAGAGATAATTTGTAAAAAGGGAGGTAATTATGGAGGGCATATATATAACAATGTTTATCTGTGACGTGGATTTGTCCCCCGTGTAATAGAAAGACACTGTTATGCATCACTTTTCGTGTACAATTTGCTATTTCTCATGCTTATTTTCTTTGTTTAATGTATAGATGATATTTAAATGGAGAATAATTTTTGCATGCATTTTTCCCATTTTAGATCTGTATTGACTTTATAATTATGACTAGTTACCTAACATATCAACAGCAGTGTTTATGTGATAATCAAGTGTTTAACTTAACATATTAACAGCAGTGTTTATGTGATAATCAAGTGTTTAACTTAACATATTAACAGCAGTGTTTATGTGATAATCAAGTGTTTAACTTAACATATTAACAGCAGTGTTTATGTGATAATCAAGTGTTTAACTTAACATATTAACAGCAGTGTTTATGTGATAATCAAGTGTTTAACTTAACATATTAACAGCAGTGTTTATGTGATAATCAAGTGTTTAACTTAACATATTAACAGCAGTGTTTATGTGATTATGAAGTGTTTAACTTATAACCAATTTATTTCTTCTTTTTTTTGAGCCTGCATTCTTGGAAATTCCATTCTATATCAAAAACATTCAAGGATAAAAGATGGGTATTGTGTGTGGCAATGCTTAAACACTTTTTCTTCAATATTCGTAAGATATCTGATGTTAGGCCCAGCTCTAAACCAATAGACAATGCAGTTGGTCACAATGAAACTGGGAACTGAAAACAAGTATGATAGACTTTGTTAATGTCAGAAAAGTGAGAACTTACTTTAATAACATAGATTCCATAACAAGTGCCATCTATCTGCCTGGCATGTGCAGGACTGTGTACTGTCCATTCTGCTGAAATCCTATTTTCAAGACCAGCATCATATCGAGACTTCAGAAATGAGCTAAATGAAATAGGCAAAGTTAAAAAAGTTCAATACATGTACTTATAAGATTAAAATCCTGATACATCATTTGATGATGTACCCAATTTAATTCAAGATCGATTTTCATTAAAGTTGCACATATTTAAGCAATTAAACACATAAATCTCTTTTCACCTTGTGCTTAAAATTTTGTTGGCAAGCCTTCTACTTTGCTTATTTTGCTTAGTTTATGTGTTTTATCTACCTAAATGAATTAACATTTCAAGCAAAAGACTATTTCTTTCATATTGTAAATTTATATAAACTTACAATGTATGTGCAGCTTATGTATATGTTTGATTAATTTTGTTTTTTGATACAGTCATTATTGCTGTAAATAAATTGTATGTACATTGTATTATAAAATGACATAAGTGGAGTTCTAGAAATACAAAGTATATTTTCCCTTAAATTATGAATGGGTATAATTGTGAAATCAAATCAAATTCATTTCATCAGTGTTGATTCGTAATTGTAAGAGAAGCCATGTTGATGGACAACTATTAGGAAAATGTCATTGACAGCCTTAATGGCTCATTTAAACTAGATTTCAAACAAACAACAAGAGTTTCACAGGAAACAGCGAAGCTCAACTAATAAAATACTGGACGCAGTTAGGACGACAAAACTATGAAAGAAAAATCAATTATGTATAATCAAGTTTTAATTTATAGTAATAAAATAAGATTGTTAACATAATACCAAGATTAAAGGGAATAATTCTAGAATTAGTCTTGCTAGAGTTATAAACCTTGTCACACAACATGTGTTTAATGATAAGATATATATATTTGAAGTTTGAAGTAGTTACCTAAAAAAAGTGGAGAAGTTATAATATCTTGTATAGAAAATCCTAAGTTCAATGAGAGATAAATCTGTAAATATTGCTTCAAGAGTTATGGACATTGTCACTTAAAATGTAATTGATGATAAGGAATAGGTATTTGAAGTTTGAGGTAGATACCTTTAAAACTAAAAATGTCATAGTAAAAAATTACATTTTTCTAGTAAAAAAATCTTAGTTTGTTGGGAGATAATTCTTGCAATATTGGTGCTAGAGTAATGAAGCTTGTCACACAAGATGTAGATGATGATAAGGTACATATATTTGAAGTATGAAATTGATCCCTTAAGAAATAAAGAATTAACAGTAAAAAATAGTATTTCTTAAGGAAAATTCTAAGTTTAAGGGGAGATTAATATGAAAATATTGGTGTTAGAGTTATGAACCTTGTCACATAAGATGTGGTTGATGATAAGGAACTTATATTTGAAGTTTGAAGTTCATCCCTTAAGAAATAAAGTATGATGTTTATCCCTTTAGAAATAAAGAACTAACCGTAAAAAATAGTATTTTTTAAGGAAAATTCTATGTTCAAGGGGAGATAAATCTGAAAATATTGGTGCTAGAGTTATGAACCTTGTCACATAAGATGTTGTTGATGATAAGGAACATATATTTGAAGTTTGAAGTTGATACCTTAAGAAATGACAAAGTTATAGTGAAAAATATTTTACTGCACCAAAACTTTAATCTGAAATCTGGACGCCGACGCCGGGGCGAGTAGGACAGCTCTCCATATACTTCGTATAGTCAAGCTAAAAAATTAAAGAGAATAAAAGAACAAATTGCTTAACATTTTTCTGGTGTGAAATTAAATGCTTTACTTACCACAATGACATTGAAGGTAGGGATATGAGTCTTGAGCACAACACATTGTCATGATGTGGTCAACATTTGTGCCAAGTTATTTCAAAATCCTTCCATGCATAATTAGAGATGTAATCTCAAAACATTTGTAAATGTGTATAGAAAATGTATTACCATTAATGTCCAGTGGTTTCCCCCTTCATTGTTAGCGCCAATAACAGTATCATATGACATCAGAGTGTGCTGTATGAGAAAAATTAGAAGCTATGGATTGAAAAGTTGAGAAAGTTAAGCACAATAAATAATCAGACATGGCATAGCCTAACACTCATCCATAACTGCTATCACCCTTTTATTCAGGCATCTGCTAATTAAATCGACCCCATTTTTCAATATTGAAAGTGTATGTAAATATGCAATAATATCAATGTTGTTGATTTATTTTTAGACATGTGACAGAAATCGGGTACAATTTAGCTATATATTAGGTATAGGAGCATTCATTTATTAATTTTAAATCTGAAGCAATTCCATGAAGGAATAAGAAAGTTAAAGAATGAATAAGAAAAATTATAATTCTGATAACTTTGGTGCAAAAGTAGTAAATTTTGTGATATATGATGTGGTTGATGATAAGAAACATATATTTAAAGTTTGAAGTCAATACATTAGGAAATAAAGAACTAATATTGAAAAAGCATTAAAACTTCAATAAGAAATCTTTACAAGTTGGTGAGTAGGACAACTCTCAATATACTACAATAGTCAAGATTTAAAAAATGAGCAATTTTCTACAGACTGCAATCAAGTTTCATAAAAGAATATTTTCAGTACTTTTTGAGTTATCACTGGATCAATGGTAAGATAGCCTCTATCCCTATTTGGTAGTGCGGACTGACTGACAGACGAGCAAACAAAAGGCACATGGTAAACCTAAAGTCGCCTCTGGTAATTATTAGAGGACATGAAAGACAGACAGAAAAGAAGACAATTTGTGACACTTAAACTTTACCAAGTTTACCATCTAGACAATTACTATTTAAGTTCAAACTTACTGTTATATTCAATTCATAATGTCCTATTTTACCTTTACAGTCAAGGTTTTTGAAAAAATTTTGTACACAAATGAAATGAAACCTCACTTTTATATTATCACAGACAAGCAGTAACTTCCCAAGGTTATTAGGATCTATAAGTTTACCATCTGTAAACATTTTATGTTAATAAAAATATTAAAAAGTATGCTTACATACCATTCTTAGGAGTCCATGGATGTTCACCTCACCATCAAAAATCCCTGTCATAGTTATGCAGCTGATGTGCAAAACATTTTCCTTATCAGCAACCAATAGATGCAAAAGAGCATCAATAACCTAAAATGATATACAATAATGCCTTGCCTATGTATATTTCAAATACTATTATAATTATGTTGATTCATTGTTCTAATGTAAATACTGAATCTGAATGAATAAGATGCACCTCAATATTGTCTTAAAGATGCTCTTCAACATGATATAAATTAGAAAATATGACAGTTTTAATTATTACTTGTTTGTGTATTCAAATAGAGTGAAGTAGGGGTGATGGTTTTTTTAATAATTTTTCCAGTGTCAAGCAAATTCTTTCAATTTATTAAAATCTATTTATATCCAAATTTTCATGGTTACATTTGGGACTTTTTTAGCAATGTAAAGTTACAAAAGGCAACATCTTTTAATAAGGAAAGGGAGATTATGAAATAAATTGAGAGAGGTTCTTGATAAGTGCATTTATTATGCTATTTTGTTTCAAATTTTCATGTGGTTCCGTTTCATAGTTTTTATATAGCAAGACACTGTAATCGATTCACTATTTCCCATACTTTATTTTACAGAGTTCAAACAAAGGTTGTAATTTATTCACAATGAATAGTAAAGAAATGCTTTTTTAATTGATCACTCAACAAGTTTTGATAATTGCAGAACAAAATGCCAGAGAGGATGTTCACACCATAAAGTCAAAATAGTAAGTTGAAGATCCTGCATACCTCATCAGAAAGTGTTGATCTGATAAATTCAAAGGACTACTCTGTTAATACATATGGGCCATTTCTTCCAAACAGTAGCATCACTTGCTTCTTCAAACCATATTCGATCTATCTCTGAAATAAATCATGAAAATGCAACACCTGGATCATTTCAGGATCAATTTTAATTTAAGAAAACATGACCTACATTGCCATCTAGGACAATATATATATATTGCACAATACAGTTGGAAATAACTAAGATTTATATATAAATGTAATACTTTTTACTTAAAGCATTAGTGCTTAACTATCTGTGATATAAATCTCTTATGGAAATGTTTGTTTGTTCAGTGTGGTGCATACTAGTATGAAAATATTAACATAAACCAAGGCGGAGGCTTTTAATGAAATCATTTAATAAAAACAGTAATAGTGTTTGATATTCTTTCTGTGATATTTTCAATCAATTACTATCATTGTCTCTCTATGTCATGCCATCTGAGGAACTATAATAGTATATCATTTCTTATGTTATCCATTGTGTTGGTGTGCTTTTAGGGTTTTTATGCTCATGCACTGTATGTTATGTTATAACTCACTTCATGTTTTATATTACAATGTAGATATGTAATAAACTATGCCAAAATAATTCTTAACTGTATTAAGCAGAGAAATAATTTCATTAATGAATAAAATTCATTCAGGGACTTAATTTCTCACAAATTAGTAAAGCATTCCTTCCTATTTGCTATGCACTAATGTCACAATAATCACTAAAATGCCCTATTCAAAATTTGTTCAATAGGTATATAATGTGAATGATGTTAAAATTAATGCAGATTTATAAGCAGTTTATGAAATATGCTTACATGTATAAACAGGGATGTTTTAGTAAGACACCAAATACAAGTACATACAACTTAATTGAATTGACAACCAAAGGGATACTGTCATTTATATTTCATTTAAAATAAAAGCTATTGAAGATTTTGTAACTATCTAGAGCAGTTGTTCCTTTTTCTTGCTTAAAATAATATCAGCAATTGAAAAGGTTTTTCTGAACATCATAAACAACACACACCTTCCTCATCCCTTTTAGTTATTTCCCAGTCAGTAAACTCAGGGATCACTGCTGCACTGCTGTCATCAACTGGAACTGCAAAAAGAATACCATGTCATAATTGTAGAGACTAAAAGGGCCAGTACCTGGCAGTAGCAACAGTTAAATTTAATTTACAGCTTAACTTTTCTTAAAAATAGTTAACAAAAAAAATGAATTAAAAAATAATAATTAGAAAAAAAGATAAATAAATAAGCCAAGGAAAAAGTATTTTTACAAAAATAACAAGAGCTGTCTGTAGGACAGCATGCTCGACTATTCTAAGTGCTTGATAGTAAAAGAGCCTTGATATTGTTAAATTTTTTAAGTTCACAAAAGGGCTATTTTTTTTTTATAAATTCATGTTATAGGCCTAACAGAGAATCTAATTATACAGAATTGGCTTGACTATTCGGAAGGTAATGTCACAAGGTTTTTTTTATTGAGTATAATAATACTAATTACCTATGAATACATAAATTTGACAGAAAAGGTACAAAGGCTTGTTATTAAGGTGTTTTATCAAGTAAATCACTGCTTTATTATTATGAATGCATAAAATTGTCCCAAAAAAGGCACAAACCCTTCAGTAGTTATTGAGATAACAGCTTACAAGCAAAACTTTACCATGAATTTCTAAGTTGAAAAAGGGGAGAAAAATCAGCCTAAATGCAAGATTGAATTATGGATCTTTGTCAGTGACCTACAATTATGACCCTAAATGCATATAAGAAGTTTTAGATAAATATCTTTAATAGTTATTGAGATATGTAAAACTTGCATGTAAACATTAACCAAGAGACTAAGTAGAAAAGGGGATATGAATCAGCCTTAATGCAAGATAGAGTTATGAAACTTGGTCAGTGACATACAATTATGACCCTCCAATTATGACCCTAAGTGCATGTGTAAAGTTTCAAGTAAATATCTTAGAAGACGTTAACCTTTAACCAAAATTTCTAAGTTTCAAAGGGGCAAATAATTCTGCAAATATTGCAGACAGAGTTATGCAATTTTGCAAACTGATGTACATTGTTACTATGAATAAGTATTTTAAATTTCAATTGAATATCTCAAGCAATAAATGAGATATTTAACTTTACAAAAAAAACTTTAACCAAAATTTCTAAGTTCCAAAGGGGGCATAATTCTGTCAATATGGTAGGCAGAGTTATCCAACTTGTCAATCTGATGTACATTGTTACTATAAATAAGTATTATAAGTTTCAATTGAATATCTCGAGCAATAATTGAGATATTTGTCTTTACAAAAAACTTTAACCAAAATTTCTAAGTTTAAAAAGGGGCATTATTCTGTCAATATTGTAGGCAGAGTTATCCAACTTGTCAATCTGATGTACCTTGTTACTATAAATAAGTATTGTAAG